ATGCCAGGCGGGGCGGCCCACATAGCTCCTGAGTAAGGACCCATAGGCATATTCCAAAAGGGAGCTTGCCACGACCAAGGAACTGGTAAGCCAGAAGGTCCTGGTAGACACCCTTGAGCACCACAAGAAGGTGCCCATTCGGAGCAGGACCACCGACTTGGCTCAGCACACTCCAGGAAGACGGCGGCACTTCAGGAGAGCTGTTGTTGGCGTTGGCTTGCACCTGCCCTTCAGAGCTCCAGGGATCGCCTTGGTCCCATGGATCGTCGGGAACCGGCCTCTCATGGGCTCCCACGCTTTCAGCCATAGTCGCAGCCATGGCCCCAGACTAGCAGCACGCAGGCAGCCTATCCTAGGAGCTAGTGCAACCTGCTCCGCTACCAATATGGATCGTGATACACAACCCTAAAAACACAACCAGCAAGCAAAGCAGCACGCAAAGCATTCGTTTCTGCTGCAAAAGGCTAGCGACGTCACTTGAAGAGAGTCGTCCGGGGCCGGATTCCACAGGCTCTTCCAGGCTTGCACACTTCACTGCCATGACAAGTCAAAGCACATGCCCACATGCAGTGTTCTTCACATCTTGCAGGTCACCATGGCCGCGAATGCAGCATTCTTGCCAAACACAGCTGGGCCGCTTCCAGCTGGACCGGTGTGACGTACTTCGGGTCGATCCCCAGCCCTGCAGGCAGCTTACCGGAACAAAGCTCCAAGCATGAAGCCACGTTGATGACCAATTGTCCCTCCGATAGCACTGCTTTTATTGGAATCGTCGGGAGCCCTGCCCACGCCTTTCGATGCCAGTGTCAAAAAGCCATCGTAGTCTTGAAGAAACCGCTGGAGCCGAAAGACGCGAAGCAGCCTGGGCTGACCGGATTGATGCTTTCTACCTTCTGGAGCCTTCCGGCAGTCCTGAAATCCAGCCCAGAAGCCTGACACCAGCAATGACTGCGGCCATGGTGTCTGAGCCGAGGTGGATTCAAACGCTTTGGTGTGACAGGCTATGCAGGAACCCGCATGTAGAATCAGCTGCGGTGTCTCAGATGTGCTTTTAGGAAAGACAGCCCCTGTCTTGCAGACTTTCAGAGGTTCAGGCGGTTCAGGCTTTAATGCATGTCATTTTCAGAGCTGAGTGCACGGCCTGCCTGATTGCGTGATGCCCATGAGGCGGAGCAGCAAGGGGAGGAATGCGAGGATGTCAATTATCACCAACCTATATGCGAAAAGCCAACAGCCGACGAGCTCAAGGCCCAGCCCGCACAGAATGACAGAAACAGAGAGAGAGAGAGAGAGAGAGAGAGAGAGAGAGGGAGAGAGAGACAGAGATTTCACTTGCGTTTGCGACCAGGAAGCGGCTTCAGAATGTAGGTCGGCCGCAGTGAGCGCGAGTACCACCGTAAGGCGAATTCAATCATGAACACAATGCAGATCCTGTGATTCCGGGAGCGCGAAATGCTACGAGACAGTAAAAAGCTCACGCAAAACACGGGGTGTTTACATCTGCTCGCCACTGCACATCCCAAAACCCTGGCCCAATTGCCAAAGTTCCCGTTCTCCAGGCCAGCTAGCAAAGTCGCCACGTCTTGCCAGCCTGTTGCAGTCGAGGTAAAGGGATTTGGACGTTTAAAGAGGTGTGGGTGTCCAAGGTTGTGAAGGCCCCGGGTCGCCAATTTCATGACTTCCCATGGTAGGTTACCTGCCAAGACCTGAAAACTAGATGTCAGCCGGCGTGCATCCGGCTGAACGGAGTCTCAGAGAGCCTGTGCAGAGTTGAGCCAGCCTGGTTGGCTAAGGACGGGAAGCGTCTCCAGCGCGACGATCAGAGAGGATCTTGGAGGGCCAAGCGGCGGCGGGGCTCCACGGCATGACAAACGTCTAGCCGAACTCACTCGTTGTATCGGGAAAGTAAGAGGTGAATGTGAAGTTGCGGGCCACATTACACCTGTTACCAGACTGCAGCGCGGGATGGGTGAAGGAAAGAGGGTTTGTGTGCCCAGCAGCAGAAGCACACATGCGACCACAATCCTCAGCTGTGCCGTGATAAAGACCAACACATCTGCTTCTTCCGCTTTAGGGCAATCGACACACCGTAGATGTAATCTGCCGCTGCAATATGCAGTGCAGCATCAACTCCACTTGCGGCTCGGCGAGCATCTCCTGCAACGCCACAAGTCGAAAGCAGGCAGGACCCATCCCCACCGAAACCCACTAACAAAAATAGGAAGGCATGAGACCCTGGCCACGGCCTCCGTTGCAACCGCATAGGGCAAAGGCCCCCAAGGCGCTCGCTCAGCCCTGCTTACCTTAACTGCCCAAGGCTCATGGAATTTGAGCTGCACGAGTTGCATGACTTTTGGTCAACCGGCTTCTGAGTTGTTCTTTTGAACTGCTTGCTGGGCTTACTGGAAGCCTCCCGACTTCAGTTGCCTTGTAGATTGTAGCCATGGAAAGGGACATCGATCGAACCAATGCATGAAGCTACTAGAAAGTTCATGGCCGCAGCTGTGAAACGGAAGACTCCCATCGACTGACTGACAGAACCGGCGCTAACAACAACCAGCAAGCATGCTGCGAACTGTCCAACACCCAGCAGTCTCCCGTAACCGAGCCTGAAGCTCCACCAAACCCTCTAAACCACACAAATCCCATGCAGAAACAAGGGAATTACGGACTTCCAACGTGCCAGACCTCGACTCCTGACAAACGCACGATCTGAGATGTTTGCTCTTGGCGACATGTGTAGGGTCCAGCTACCAGAATACTGCATTGTGTCAGGTCTCCTTCTCCGGCAGGCTATCATATGCGCAAATATAGGTACATAGATACACAGCAAATTGGGGATTCACCGTATACAACGGTGAAAGAAATTTCTAGAATACTAGTACACACGCGTACACATAAAGGACATACAGTTCATATACTGTATGAGACAACCGTCGTGCACAACGGCCCCAAGAATTGAAATAGTTGAAACAACTCAATTCGGGCCTGTTTCAACTATTTCGATTATTTAAATCCGGTGGCTTTCTCCTTTCAGCCATTAGGGGCTCATTGTCTTTGATGACACGAGAAATAAAATAATTGAAATCCCTTTTCTGCTGGGTCTGATGCAGCAAAACCCCACGATTTCAATAATTGAAATTCGGGCCTATTTTCATTATTTCAATTATTTGAATCCGGGGGTTTCTCTTTTCAGCTACTAAGGGCCCGATTTCAAACATTTCAAAAAATTGGGGGCTCCGAGAATTGAAATTAATGAAATCAGCCTCCCTGCTTGAAATTGTTTTGATTATTTCAAACATTTCAATTCTGTTTATCTAAAGGAAAAGAAACCAGGCACCAAATGTACCCTAAAGGGGTCTCTATCTCATATGTATGTATATATATATATATACATACATACATACATACACAGATATGCATGTGTTCTTTCCTTCCTTCCTTCCTGCCTTCTTGCCTTATTTCCTTCCTTGCCTTCTTGCTCTCTTGTTCGTCTTCCTTGCGGCTCTAATCAAAAAGCACAAAACAGCTCACCCAGAAACACTTCCCAGAAAATTACGATGCCATTCATATTCAGACATGCACTCCCTCACCCCGGCCCTACTCTGGAGCCCAGTGGCAAACCGCGGATTGCGGACACCAAGGCGGCTTTGGTCAACCACTGCAGAAGGCTCCTGGAAGATACAAGGGGTGCTCACCAGCAGACTCAAATTCAACTGGCACCCGATGATGAGTTTCCTAAGCCCCGCTCCCATATTCAAAACAGTCGATGTGCCTTCCCAACTGCGAGACAGCCTACCTGGGTTGGCTCATTTATGTTCACCCCGTCTCAACGACCTATACTTCACATGGATCCTGGCCTGCTTGACCTCACTCTGGTGGTGGGCTGCTTCCGAGGCCCTGCTTTCTGTGAAGCTCGCACCTTGCAGGCAGCTGACATGAGGGCTGGGGATTCTGGCATGCTCGGTCTCTAGCTGCAGCAAGCCAACCCCGTCCACGATCGGAAACATAAGCAGCCATCGAGCGAAAGATTCTGTGTAGGTCCAGGTAAGGCAGCATCTGTCGTGTCCAACAATCGGAAGAGTACTCGCTCCGAAACAGTCCGACATGTCGGCACTTGATTCGCAATTGGTTTGAGTGTCCTAATTGCCAAGTTAGTTGTCCGCATTCAGATTAATACGGCCTCGATCGGTGACCGCAACTTCGACGGCCCGCGTCGCCCGTGCTGCACATCTGTGCTGTGCACGTGTGTGCCGCCGCAGGAGCAAGGGTATCGAGACGGCGCACAGCCCGAGGGTAAAGCTGTCCCTGCCGACTGCAGCTTTGCTGGGATCGGCAACTGGTGCTGCGACTGCCGCAATACCTGAGGTGCAATCCAAAGTGGGTAGCTATGCCTAGCATGCCAGCTGTTCAGAAACCCATCCATCTCAACCCACAAAAAACTCAAACTCCAACTACTCTGATAGACCCGTAACTTGTGCGAGCCAGTGCTAAGAAGCAATTGCACACCTCCGGTTGAGGGGTGTTGGGGTTCGAGATTTACAGGGAACTCAGATTGGCGGCCAAATCCAACTTAATGATGTACAGCATCATTGTGCGAACATCGTCCAACACGGCAGGCAGGTGTTGTTCTGGCCATCCTTGTCATCTCGTGTCTTGATCGTCGAGTCACTGGGTTGGGGCCCCACTCGCCGGGTCTGGAGCGTGCCGGGCGCTCGTGGCGCCACAAAACCCTCCATCTCACACAGGAGGAGGAGATCAGTTTAGCCACTAATCGTAGAACCCTCTACTTCGGGGGTCAGGCTTTCCCACTCAAACGGCATGATCTGAAAGCAGTTTCCTTCGGAAGGCAAGTTCATGTTAGCCGTCTGAGTTCCTTCGCTTGGGCCAGAGTAGCAGGGAATTGTTGCACGGCGGGGCGGCTGCAGGACAGCACTCCCAAGACCCAAGCGATTAAAAGCTATAAATGCACCCCACTTCGCCTCGGGATCACATGCAATGCTGAGATCCCGGATGCTTCCTGTCAAGCCGGGGCAGGATACCTCAGTGACTCAGAGATGCTGAAAGGAGGTGGTCGGGCCTTATGACTCCAGTCGGGGGGGGGAACCAGACCTCTGATCCGCGCGACCGCCTGCGCTAGACGGCCATGGAAAATATTTCGAGAAGGTACAGTATGCTGTTGTCCGCCATCATGATGGGATCCTTACACTCAGAGCCTCAGTCAGACGGAGACCTTTTGGGGGCATCGCGGAAGCGCAGTCTCAGTCACATCCCTCCCGTAATATTCAACTACATTAATCCATGGGCTAATCCTCTTCTTCCTGCTCCCCTTCACCTTAGTCGCCTTAGTCGTGAATGTCTTTGGGTTTGGCTTAGTCCTCCCACGTTTGCGAGGCCTCCTCGGCGATTTCCTGTTCACTTGACTATGTGACTGCAACACAGTTTCTGAGGCTTCTGGCGTGTCGTGCTCGACCTCCAAGGAGGCTGAGCGAATAGATCCGAAACCTCGCAATGCAGCTCTGACCGAATATGTGGTTCGGGCTCTGACCATGGCCCAGGCCCGTCGGAGACAGCAGTCATGCCGCCGGCACAAGCCAGCAAAGTTGGCCTGCACCGGAAAGGCATAGGTTCAACAACTAGAGCCTGCAAACTATAGACGAGTGCTTCTTTCTGTTTATAGTGCGAAGAACGACACCGAGGACGCGACGACGATCATGACCGTTACGACGCCCTTGCCTGAAAAGCGGGCTGGGCCATGCTATTTCGGGCTGCTCCTGGCCATGAGTTGCACCGTCTTCACCTCTGCTAGGAGATAAACACCTCGGAACCAGTGGACCAACGAAACAAGTTGAATCAATCGCAGTCCTCTGACACCACGGCGTACCTGCGAGTCCATGCTGCCACACACTGTAGACTCAAAGACGCTGCAGCAACAGATGCCAGCATCACCTTCCCAAGTCACAGCCAAAGATCGTCACCCAAACCCTCTGGATGCAAGCACTGTAGAACATAGATCTCAAATGCGGGTCTGGGCACTGCCACTGGCTCACCGGCTTTGCCTTGAAAACTGGCAAACAGCAACATGCAAAAGCAGAAGCTGTGTTTGGCCACCGTCGGCTCGCGGTCCATGCCGGAATGAATCTCCCATCGACCGAGTGAGCAAGTCAGACCAGGCCAGCACTGTCTTTTCGGCGACAGCCTAGCCGGCCTGCCGGCCTGCCTCTAAGCCCGAGGCCAGCCAGTACGTTAGGATGGCCCAGACGAGCATCGCCAACCTCCCAAGTGGCTCGGAGGTTTCTCCGCTCTGAACCGTGTTGGGTTTGGGGCATGGGCTTTCTACGCTTCCAGGCCGCGGCTAAGCTCGACAGACACCGCCCTGCATCTCACACGTGGGGCTTCCTTGGGGCGATGGAAGCAAACATCTCTGCACTGAGAACGCGGCCACAAGAGTGCGCTCGCCAAGATTGTGGAGTGAGCGGTGCTCCTGGACGTCGCCGGTCTTCCCGGAAGGGGTCTTTGCTTCTGACCAGTCTCACCGGGGCCCGGTCATAAGCTGGGGCTCTTACAAGAGGTCCTAGGGCCCTCACAGACTCACAGGATATTCTGTTGACCGCTGGTCTGTGTTTAACCGTGAAGCAATGCAGCAGTCCTGATCTGAGAGCGTGTGTGCTCAGCCTCAGAAGCTGCACGAGGTTTTCTCCAAGCGCTGTTACACCATCCTTGTCTTTGGAAGGAAACAGTCGCATACTGGGAAATCTCAGGTGGCCATTGCCACCCAAAGACCGAGCAGCCCCGCCTTCAAGGTTTGTGGCGATTGCCGACCGTCAGTCAGAAATGCAGAGTGCACTGAGCACGCCACTGAGCTGGGGGGGGGGGGTTGAAACAGATCCAAACCAATACGACACAGCCATGCCGAGAGCTTTGGGCCATCTGGGCGTGTCACTCGCCAGGTGAACTCATCTTCATCCTTGGCTTCTGGGACTTCGGCATTTGGACGTGCTGGGCTGCTGGGGCTGAGAAGCCACACACCGAGCGATTTCAGCAAAGGAGCTGTCGGCCAACCAGAGAGGTCGTGCGCATGGTCGTACGACCCTTCCGGCCTCACTGATTGACTTGAAATCTCAACACTGACGAGCATTTCGAGGCTACGTACTCGGCGGGTGGATGGGCCATGATGGGCCCATCGTTCTGCTGTCCGAGCAGCAACGACGTCTTCTTGCGTTTCAGCCGACCTGACATCAACTTGCGTCTAGGGCTCGACATATGGCGCACCTTCTCGCCTCTTCTCCTTTCTTCCGTGGACAAGTCTTCATCATGCAGCCTGCGCTGCAGCAAATCAAGACTAGAGGAACGATGTTGCGTGGCGCATCCTCTGCAGCTACACGGTGTGTGCCGAGGGATAAGCAAGGTCTTTTAGTCCTACGATTTAGTCGGATCTGGGGATGCCGTACACATGCTTGCAAACTTTTGCAAAACACTCCAAATGCATCTAAAAGTTTCTCGTACCTGACATGTTGGCCCCAGCTGGAACTTTCGAACACCCTCAAGAGCGTAACTTCGATTCCGCCCACGCAACTATCTATACCCTCTTCAGACTCCGGACCTTGCCACGTCACCGCAAAGAGAAACGAGCCGCCAAACCGGGTGACAACTTTGGCGCCTGTCTTGCTAGAGGGGCAACAAAGGGCTCGCAAAAGCCCTCTGTGTGTTCTGGCCAACATTCAATTATAATTTACTGTTGAGGTTGCATGTCTGCTTGATAATCTAACCAACTACGACCAAAACCATCGGCACGGCCGCAACAACAACAACAAGAACAGCGATGACGACGACGAAAACGGCGACGACTAAGACAACAGCAGGAAGACAAAAAAAGCCGTAACAAGACCAATGACAAAAAACGAGAACAAATAGCGATAACTCGATAACAATCAAAAAGAAGAAGAACAACAACAAGAACCACAACCACAACCACAACAATACCAGCACCAGCACCAGCACCAGCATCACCAACATCACAACCGCAACCAAAACAATCACAACCACAACCACAGGAACAACCTGGGAACAACAGCAGGTGCAACTCTAGCATCAGCAGCAGCAGCAGCAGCACAAGAGGAAGAAGAAACAAAAGTCCAGAATACTAATCCAATAATACGAACGACAATGAAAATCAAACAAAACAGCAAGAACGACGACGCCGGCGACGACAACAACAACAACAAAACAACGTGGACCTTAGCGACGACGACGACGACAACAACAACAACAGAAGACCAGGAATCAGAATAAACATGACAAATCCCAATACTACTCACAGCAAAAATCACCAACAATGGACGACGACGACGACGACGACGACAACGACGACGCCAGCACAACAACAGCAACAACAACAACAAAAAAAACACAATAAAAAAAACAGAAAGCCACAACCATAACCACGACGACGATGACGACGATGACCACCACCACCACCACCACCACCACAGGCAGCAAACAATAAACTCAACAAGCCACACACAGCAAAAGCTAAAACACAAAAAAGGAAGGACAAACCACCTAGCGACACACTAACAAACGACAGACAACAAGCAACAAACAACCGAACAACCAACGACACAAACACGACCAACAACAACAGCAGCAGGAACAACGAAAGCAGCAACACAACACCAGCAGCAGCCGCAGCAGCAGCAGCCTGGCAGCAGTAACAGTGAGGAGCTAACGCAAAAGCAACAGCAACAACAACGACAACAACGACGACGACGACGAAGATAACAACCACTGCACATGTGCATGTAAGTGTGTGTGTGTGTGTGTGTTTGTGTTGGTTGGTGCGTGAATCCGACTCGAGAATGCTGACGCAATGCAGAAGCCTCCAAACTCCGAAACAAGCTACAATGCCCTAAGAAACCTTTTACCATACCACATACTCAGCTTCACACACGCAGCTGTTGTTTCATCTGAGTGTCAGGCCTCGTGGGTGCAGCACGGCCGGTTACCTTAAAACGCAAGGGTGTCCGAACTTGCGAATCTCCCGGAGGGATACGTTCGATACTCACGGGCTCACAGGACATCAGGCCTCTACGTACGCCGTACGCCCCAACGCAAAGCCGAAATTGAACTGGCTCTCACATTCTGGCACACAAAGTAATGACGTAATATCGTCAAAACCGTAAATGCAAGCGGGTGTGGGGGAAACAGGCCTGCATCGCATCAGCAGCGCAGGTAGCACTTCGGCGCAGCGACTGTGCCGACCTGGGAAGCAAAGGTTGTTCCACTCCCAAATGCCTCGACGAGCCACTTTGCAAAAATCACAAACACACAAACGCACACGGACACACAGAGAAGTACGAAGAGACAGCTATGGCAGCTGCCCCCTTTCCAGGTCTGTCGCCGATTCTGTCGCCGTCCAGTCCGGGTGGGCCTGCGCAGTGATGGAAATTGAGTAACGTCAGCATGCAGGCTATGCAACAAACCCGTCCTCCGGGGAGCCATGGTGCGATCCTGTTTATGGATTTTATGGAGTGTCAGGCAGGAGATATCTGAGATCAGTCTGACAATCATCAAAGCTACCAGGCCAGCACGTCCACGCTTACTCTGTTTTCTGGCGTCCTGTTGCTACGATGCTGTGCCCGGACACGAATCTGCTATACTCGGTGTCCTGAAAAGCCCTTGTCAAAGTAAAGCCCGGAACGCTGAACCCCATGTTTCACAGCCGGAATTGGGCATCCATGGCATCCGCAAGTGCTGCCGAGCATCCCCAGAATCCCTCGCCTTGCCGCGCGTGAGATCAAGTCTTGACGAAGGGAGAGTTGAGTTGTCGAGTGCCGGATCCCGAACCGACGGTGAGCAGCTGGTGGTGGGATTTCTTGATCCCTACATCTACGACGAGTCTATGGCCGAACTCCCGTGCTCGACCTCGCTGCTCTGGATCCCTGCAAGGACCTCTGAGAACCAGGCCGGGTCGGTGGAAATGAATGTCCGATTCCTGTCATGGCTCACACTAGTGTAGCAGGATTTAGGACACCGCATAGCGGTATACAACGAGTTCTCGTGTTTCACAGCTCTGGGAGAACACCCAAGGGGATACCTGCCAGTTACTGCCAGTTCAACCTGGGACAGAGCCTGCTGGTCTTACTCCGCCTCTGGGCGAGAGAGAGGAGTGAGGAGTGAAGGTGAGGACCACAATCAATGTCACCCTGGCTCTCTTCACAACAGATGCACCTTCTTAAGCTTCGCGCCTTCAAGGACTTTTGCTGAGCAGGCACGACGTACACTCTATATCGGTATGTCGGTATGTCTCCGTCTGCCCGTCTGCCTGTCTGTCTCTCGTAGAAGCCTGAAGGCCCTTCACGATCAAATGATGTCAAATGCAGGGATCCTGCACGCGCAAAGCGAAGATGTAGACCAACATCCAGAACAGGAAGTGAGCTGCGAAGGCAGACGGCACCAGGATCTGCTGGGCAACCTGCCGGTAGCAGGCTGGCCATGGCTGTGGGCAGAGTTCTTGCCCCTGAGGAGAGGATGGGATCCAGCCAAGCTGAAATCACAGGCCAAATGCCGCCTGATCCTGTTTCACTACGGACAGCCGCAAAGGTCAAATTACTTCCAAGAACCGTCAATCCACGAACCGTCATTTTGACAAGACCAGCCCCTGTCCACACATCGCCTCGCTGGTTGTCACCGCTGCAACAGTTGAGCAGCCTCCGGCGAAGAACGACTACCGCGTTGTGACATACGTGACATGCATAGCGGCACAGCAAGAAATTAATACTTTGGGAATGGGTTGGGGCCGCACTGCGAAGTGCTGTGAAGCCCGTCAGTAGGCTCCGACTTGCCATCTGAACTTCGCAGCTTTGAAATCGTCTTCCATTCCCGGCTGTGGAGCTAGCGGAACTGTCACTGGCACGCAGCATAATCGTTCTCGCACCTGGTGCAAGGGAGACCGTGAGAACGACCAGGAGACCTGACATGACCCCAGTGGGCAACTCACTGCCGGCGACGCAGTAGGGCTACATGATCGTAATTTCCAAGCTCAGCTGATTTGGCTCAAGATTTGTGAACCAGGGACCCGGCGCAAGTGAGTGCTCCCTGATCGGAAGTTGCTGTTGATGATGAGTCCCACCTCGAGGCTCAGATTTCCACTGAGAGCTCTAGTCTGCTCTAGAGAGCTCTGCGCTTAGCTCTGGGCCATGAGTATGAAGGCGAGTGTGACAATCGCTGCGGCATACTCGCTGAGCGAATAATCTGCGATGCCGATGCAGGGCTTGGGCTGAACTGGGTTGAAGCCAAAGACTCACATTCCTCGCAGAAGAGCTCCGATCGATTCGAGTGCCGTGGCCGCTGAGGGCTCGCCTTGCACAGCAAGATATCCCAGTGCAAAGTAGGCGCTGCTGTGCCCAAGACCTTTGTGAAGCAAGCTTTGCAATGACCTAGTCGTGGCGCGTAGAACCGTGGCATACGATGACCGAACAAAAATCTCACAGGTGGGACTCCGTTAGGAGCCAAAGGCAGGCAGCTCAGGAGCTGAGCTCAAGACAGAGAATGCCAAGACCCATGGCATACTTTGAGTAAAGGTCCTCAAGCAGCGAGGCGTGCAAGCACAAAGATCCCGCACCATCCACAGGCTCCAATCCAAGAAATGCTGAAGGCAGTAGCCGGCCGTCCAAACAGGAGAGAGGGAAGGCTCAGCTTCTGTCAGGATGAACTATGGCTTGAAATCTTTAGGTGTGAGGCTCACTGTCAAACAAGATGACTGCCTGCCCTCACAGCAACAGCAAGCTGAGATTCTGACGTATGGGTGCCACAGCCTCATGAACCTCGCTGCTGATTTGGGAATAGCTTGGACAAGAAATCGCCAGCAAGAGTTCAGGCATCTGCAGGCATGACTGCTGTCCTTGCCAGGTGGCTCTGCAAACTTCGTGAGGTACCACGTGTGGGAAGTCCTTAGCAATCAAGGCACGGTAACGACGACTGCCAACGGTAGAAAACTAAAAAATCAGCACACTGTGCCAGGAGCTTAGAGCAGAGGATGTCAAACTCTCAGCTGTACAGGAACTATACGTCGAATCACGGCTCCACGACGCAAAAGTAATACCGGTGCAGGAAAATGAGTGGGTTGAGGATTTGGACAAGCCAGCTCTTGCTGATCTGAGGACCACGCCGCATGACCAGAGACCTGAAAGATGGAATCGTGCAATGTCAGAACTGAAACTGAATCTGCAAGAGCGCCACGCTTCGGTCATCAAACTTCGAGATACAAGCCATGCCGGCTGTAGCAACCCTGCGACGTCTCAACAGCCGAGGCAGCAAGCTGTTTAACTAGTTGCCAGACAGGTTGAATGACGACCTTAGCAATGTGGAGATCACTCAGTGACCGGCGAAGCGCGAAGGGAGCAACGGGAGACCGTACCAGAACGAGTCAGAGATGTACAAGAGGGAAGCAGGGAGAGAGAAAGATGGTAGACAGACTGGTAGAATGAGCGCAAGTGTCCCCAAGCTTCCAGCTCCAGAGGTGTCGCCTCCTCCAGGTTCACGAGATCATCTGGCAACAGATTCTGCGCTCGGAGCTGAACATCAGCAAGACTGCTACCAAAATCCCCCCTCTCGCCATCGTCATCATAGTCGTCCGGGTCATGCGCGGGACTCCCAAGGTGTTCCTCGCATCTGTGCAGAGAGGCTTTGGCCAACATTGGCTTGAGACACAGCGCGAGACAACTCGCGCGACATGGGCCTGCTTCTTCTTTTTCTTGCCACGTGCTTTCAGGCCCTTTCCACCTTTGTCACGGTCCGACATCATCAGCTGACCACTGCACTGCCCCGGGCCTTCTCGCTCGGCGAAGTCGTCCATGTGCTCTGTGATGCTCTTGAGCTTGTCCTGCATGTGACCCTTACCGGCAGCCATCTGGATTTAGAGGGCTCGGTGTGGTGCACCAAACTTTTCAACTACTTCGGCTACACTACCAGCACCCGATGATATATGTTCTTACTCAAGCCCGGAAACGGGCATGTAATGAATGATGGCAACTCGCGCCTCTGATGATTTTGTGATTGAGAGTAGACATCAGCACTAGCACAAGTTTTAGACTAGCTTCCGACTGGGGTCACAGGGCAGTAGGCGGGCTGACAAGGCATTTCCGAGCCCGGGTATTGCCTTCAGGAGGGCCCCTATGGAAGGTCCAGAAGGCATTCCGCAGGAGGGGTGATGCTACGGCACAATGCCGAAGAATGCACCCTGGCCACGTCTCTGTTGAAAAACCACTTGCCACGCCTTGGCAACTCTAAGACTCTAAGCCTTTGGGCGGCACGAGATCTCGGTGCCAGCAAGGCTGAACCTGCTTTTGGCCCGGCCCCTGCAGGACAGCCCTACCAAGCGCTCCTTCTGGGCATCGGTGTTGTAGAAGGGCATGATCCTCGGAAGAACACACCGGCCCGACTCGTTGCGACGTGGAGCGAAGTTCCCCTGTGGTCCGGGCCCCGGGATGCGGAAAAGAGCCGCCAGACCATTTCGCTCGACCCACTGGGCCTGGGAACTCCAGGCGACTGACTGTTTGCAGCTTTGCTTGAGTCCTTGCTTCAGCCTCGAAGGTAATACCACTCAGAAGCCGTGAAAGCATCAAGCCGCCACTGTCAGTACTCGGTCAGCTTGTGTGCTTCATGCGCGCCTGCTTCATGTAGTCGTGAGTGTACTCTGCCGGGTTTTCTGGGCGAACCTGCCGTGGCCACGCCCACAGGCAATCAAGAAGACACATGACATAACCCCAGACGACTCTAAGCGACTGCAGTTGCTTCATGCTTGAAGGTGCTTGTCTGGATCAGTGCTCGCATTGCCCTTCGCCTGGTAGGTCAGCAGCTTCATCGTGTTTGTGAAGGCCGAGTTCTGGCCCTTCACACCGAACATGATGGACCTTACAGTCGGAATCTGGCCAATGTCGTTCGGCTGTTCAAGCGAGAGCCATACTTGCCAGTACCGACTTCAGCACAGCTACATTACGTGCCTGAATCGCTGAGATCGCGAACTCGTGTCACAGTTGAATCACTGAATCACAAACTGGCATGTGAGTCACAGGCACAGCCTTTAACAAATGGCTCAGATGCTGGCAACATCAAGTAAATCACTGAGATGCTGGTGCTGAGGTAGAAAGCAAAGCACACGAAGGCCGGACCTCAGATCCAGAGTGCAGCCCTGGAAAAGTCTTGCCAAGCCTTTCACAGGGACTGAGACTTGCGCAGTCCGGGCTGAAAGAAACGCTGACGATCGAGCCTGCCACGGCGTCAGGCCGGCAGCTACTGTACGACGGTGACTGATTGGGTTGGACACCGGATTCTAGATGCCTCGAATGGACAACAGGGTTCGTTCCCTTCCGTTCATTCTCAACGACCAGCAATCACCAAGACAAGTTCCTCATGATTTGTTCATCACGTGGCTACCCGAACATTACCCTAAGGCACGCAAACCTGCAATGTCTCAAACTTATCTGTCACAACTGCCCTCGCAAGAGCGATTAAAGAAATAGAACAAGGCCTGCAGCCACACTCAGAATAAGTGTGGCGACGATCATGTAGTTGTTGATGCCTGTGCTGGTTCGTGCGAGAGACGCATGCACCCCTCATCTCGATATCCCAAAGCTCCACCCCAAAGCAATTTAGACGGGCAGAACGGAAAGCCATGAGCAGATGTCTGAATTGTATGCTCCCAAAGCATATGCTTTTCTGTGCTTGTTGCAGTCACTGTCCCCGGTACTGTACTGTACGTTGCGTGCGAGGTGCGATTGACGGAGATCCCCATCCTGAGCAAAAGGGCAGAAGATGGAATTGAGGAGACGTGGGTATCGTGCAGGATACATCAGAACATTTCGTGTAATTTGTGACAACTGGACCGCCGGCAATCCACTGGCTGGGGATCAGACATATCGCGAATGTCGTCGCGGGCGATGGCAATCCTCACAAAATCCGATCCGAGGCCGAGAAGAGGTTGGGGCGCGAGCGAGATATTTCCCTCCAGTTACCAGAAAGGTCCGAGGAGTGCTTTCATGTTACAACTGTCAAGGATTCCATTCGGCCCAGTTCGCTACTCTCAAAATCACAACTAATTCTGCTGATGCCTTGATTGCATGATGACAAGACTGGGAATGTAAACGGAATGCACTCTGACGGATCAGTAGCCGTCCCCGGAAATGGCCCTGCATGCGCCGGTCCAACTGATGTTGTAGTTCTTCTGCTGGTACCTCGGTTAAAGGTGTTTTAGGGTTTAGGGGTTAGGGTTTTAGGGTTAGGGTGGCGAGGGTCGAATTCAGTCTGATGCATCCGTTTGCCATGTGCCTTCTTCTTCAGGGAAGTGGTTTTGCCGTGCAGGCCCGCACTCAGCTATGAGCACTGAAGGGCCAGGGCACCCAAGATTATCTCTACAATAAAATATCACATCATATCATATAACATAATATAGTATAATATAATATAATTTAATTTAATATGATATAACATAAAATAAAATCATGTAGTATAATGTAGTACAGTACAATCTAAAAGGTATAATATGACATCGCATAATATAAAACCAATATACTACAAAGGCAATGTAATAGAACGGAAAATTGCAGTCGCTTTTGCAGAATCCACCAGGCCCCCGGGCTTCTGCGCCTGGCGCCACGTTACATTGTCTGCAAAGCCTTGGCTAACTGCATCTTAGTGGCTTAGGGGGTTTAGGGTTTAGGGGTTTAGGGTTTAGGGGTTTAGGGGTTTAGGGTTTAGGGTTTTAGGGGTGTAGTCTTACAGGGCTCCTTCCTGCCAGGCTGTAGAAAGTGCCCAGAGCTTCATAAGAGGGCGCTTCACGAGGTGGTGCACCATCCAAGACAGTTAAGGTAGCTGAAACCGAATTTATGAAGGCGAGCAGAGTCTGCCTTCCTCTCGCCTAGTCCGGGTCCGGTACAGTGCTACAGTATGCAGACGTGCGATCTTGGTTTCGAGCCATCTCGATTGAAGGTCATCCATGCGAAAATGCTCTGGACGCCCGTCCTTGGTCTAGCACGCTCCGTTCGCGAAACTGCGGAGTTGTACGCTGCACATGCTGTGACTGCTGGACTGAACAATCACCGCTTGGCATTGGCTCGGAATCTTCTCCATATTGTGATTAGGGTGGCCCTTCTACTTCTCCTGCACTATGAACTCTCGCTGCTGGGCAGCCAAAAAGGCCCAGACCCGAGGAAGCCCCACCAGTCGAAGAAGGTCATGGCTGCGAAGAAGGTGTTCTTCACTTCGTGCTCTCGCGGGACTTCCGACAAAATTTTCTCGCACCCTGAGGTTTGCGCAGAGCTCCGCGAGACAAAATCTCGAGCTAACCTTGTTGGCCTCAGGGCCAGGAGCAGGGTGATACATGGTTTCGATTGTTGAGGTGATACTGAAAGGAAGCTGCTAACGAATTACGCGGCCAAGGTGGGTCGTGCCTTGACAGGTTTGGATTGGATGATGACTCAGGAGCAGCGCCAAGTGGAGGCTGCAGGGCTACTGACCATGGTTTGTGAACAGGTTCAGTACAACTTGAGCCAGCAGCCAGAGTGCGAAAGGCGAAAACATCAGGCCACGGGTTTCGGCGACCGCGGTCTGCTGGGTGATGCAATCGCACCCTCCTGAAGCTTGACCGGGCAGTTTTCAGCCAAACCTGGAAGTTCTCATGACAAGAACTTCCAAGCTCCGAATCTTGTATGTTCACATGCTGCAAATTGCTGACATGAGCTGAAGCCGGCGCTGGAGTCTTGCAAGCCTTCCTTTCTTGCCACGAATCAATGCTTTGCCACTTACCCCACCCCAAAGGGCTCAGCTGCTTGGCTGAGAGCAAAGCTACCTTCCCGAACACATGAAACCCTAGCCAAAGCGGAAAGCTTGATAGACGGCGCCAGTCGGCCAGTCCAGCTATCCTCGAGGACTCTAAAGAGGCTCTACCTGCTTGGCTGGGCTCAGAGTCTACGCACATATCGAAGACAAACGGTCTGGACAAGAGCTCGCAAAGCAGCTTGCAGACACTGGCTACCAGTAATCAGCAATGAGCTGGGCTGAGGCACCCTTTTCGGCTTCGGCTGCCAAGTGTGAAGAACCGAAGCGAGAGGCCGTTCAACAGCCGAAGCATCGCCTCAGGCTTCGAACCCACGACAGTAATCTGAGCTGCTCCTGTTGGGGTTCTCGGGTTTTGGAAGTGTAGGCACTTTGGACACTCTTGAACTAGGCGAGCCGACAGGTTCGGCATGGTTTGGTCTTCAAGCCACTTTAGGCTGTAGTGACTTCAGCCTTGCAGGGTTCATTTCCCGTCAGTCATGTCGAAGCTTGGGAAGTGCCCAGATCATTGCCAAGAAGGACTGGACAAGTAGCATCCGAGTATTTCCTTCCGCCTTCTGGAAAGCGCTTAGGGCTTCGAGGATGGAAGTGATCCAGCTGCTTGAAAACATTTCCGAAAAACCTTAATGAGAGTGATCTATTTCGGGCAAGTCCTTGTTCCTCTTCAGGTTCCGGGCTCATGAGGACGCAAACGAAAGGGCCTGAAAAGGGCGGGCTCGCCTACAGCTTGACAACCTATATATAGCGGAATACCATGAGTGGGTGCCTAAGCCGAAAAGCCTGAAGCTGCTAATCTGCACAACCACTCCTAAGGCCGCGACATTGGGTGTGGTGAAGACCGAGCAGGCGCCAGGTTCGAACCCATTCCGACATTGACCTTGTCATGCTAACCCAGGGTGCGAGACAGGCGCTCGTTGAGATTTCACACACATTCCAGGTACACAGAGCTCGTCAAGCTCCAAGTAGGGATCCCAGAGCAGGGACGACGCAAGGACTAGGAGAGATCATGGGACTTCTGGCGTCCGTGGCTCCCGAGGCAAGGAAGCAAGAATGGAAACCCACGTGAAAAGAAGCACAAACGGCTGCTTAGCCGACGATGAAACTGCTAAGCAGGAAAACGCAGACGCCCTCGTAACCAGCCGCCCCCGAGACGCTGTTTTGAGCCAGTAGGGCCGAAGCGTTTGCCAAGCTGAGAGGAGTGGCATATTACAAGAATATGAATATGCCATCCTCTCATAATTAAAGGATCTATGCTACAAGTGTCCTGCCGCTGGGCACTGGAACAAAGTTCTGCGCCTGCATTGCCAACAAACACAAAGAACTCTGGAAGTCCCAAGAGGGTCGAAGCTTTTTGGATCACAGCATCTCGAAGGAAGCTTTAGTAGGAACCCGAACATCTATGGTTGGAAAACTCGAGCTGCATGAAAGCTGTTCAGTCTTGGGTTGCTTTCGCATATTTCATTTGTTCTGACTCTGCAGGGTTTATATGGAAGATGCCCTACGGGCACTTGTAACTAGGTCACGCGCACGTAGTTTGCCCCGTTGCGTGGGGCACTTTAAATGCACCTAAATACCTAGATTTTGTCAGGATTTCAAGCGCAATCAGGGGCAGTTAAGATACTGCAAGCTAGTTCTTTTCCACGCAATCCCATGCGTTTGAGAGCACTTTCAGGACGCGCTTCGAAAGCTTTCGCAGAAAGGTGGGTTTGCTAGGTGCACCCATGTTCTTGCGCTACGCCCACATGTAGGTGGCCTGAACAAAGGCATGGTTCACGCCATGATCGCCCCGCTTCTGAAGTTACCGAGGCCTTTGTATCCCCTCCGCATACGAGTGGACAGCACGTGAAGTGCGCCCAAGACCACTGTGCTGCAAAACGCAATGCGCCGTACATTCGGGATGTGCCATAGGTCACACGAAACACGACGATGCCTAAGCAAGGCTTCCCAAGGAAGCCAGGCAGCTGGCCGGCCCCGCCACGTGCACCAGCGCACCATGGCAGCTGCCTAATCCACAACAGGCATGCACCAGACATCGTGGTGGTCAGCGAGGTCCTTGCTATCGTAGGACCAACAGCATCCCACAGCGTCGCAGATCCCCATGTGGAACAGGCAGCCCGCACAAGCGCAACAGACTCACCAAGCTCAAGCCATGGCACACCTGCCCGCAGACTCGGTATGTCAGTGCGGAAAGCCGTGGCACCGGGTAACAGACACGCCCGCAAGCCAGGTTGAGAACTGTTCTGGCGAAGCGATGCAAGGGACTCCCGCTGCAGGGTTTCTCTACGTCTTGCCTCGCTGACAGCCCAAGCGGATGCATTGGTAGTGGAACGTAACCACCCCCCCCCTCCCCAAAGCCCAGCAGGAGCACTGACAGGGCAATCTGTGCGCGCCCCACCAACTAGAAACTAGGTCGCGTGCTTTTACTTTGCCCCGTGGGTTTGTGGACATAGTTGTGCTTAAAACTCAAGTCTTCGCACTATTTCAGGGTAAAAGTGAATAATTGGCCGTAGAAGGGGCTCACTTAGTTCTGTTCCGCAAAGCGCTTCGTTCCTTGAACCAACGTCAGCCAGGATCGGTGCGTTGAATTCGAACTGTTGCCACAGGAATGTGCGTCAGGCCATCCCGATCTCCCATGCAACCGCTACACGATGACCGAATATGTACATCAGACTACGGAAGCAACCAACAACAACTTAAAGATTTCGAGTTGCCAACACCACCAAGATTCCGGAAACCTAGTGATAACTGATACACGAAACACAAACCCCAACGCCCAACATCTGCCAGAAAGCTACCTGAATCCCGATCTCAGTGTACTTTATGCCCAGCGGGCCGGCCCCGATCCGCGCGATCGTGGCTCACTTCCTGTTTGTCGGGGCTGGGGGAAGCTCGTTTGGGCAGTGAGGATTCAGCACAGGTCACGATAGGGTGTATCCCTATGATGTGTGTGTATGTAGATATGTATACATATATATATATGTATATATATGTATATATATATATGTATGCATATACTTATCTAGAAAAACATATACACACATACACACACACACGTGTATGTATACTTTATTTATATATATATATATATACACGTAGTAATACGTCAACAGCACATACATACATACATACATACATACATACATACATACATGCATACATGCACACATGCACACATACACATACACATACACATACACACATGCATGCACACATAAATGCAGATAGCCCTCATGTACAGATGACACATTGTTGTGGAGTCCAAGGGCGCACCGCTTCTCTTCATTGCCGCACTGTGCACCTGAAGAGCAGATATAGCTCGTGAAAAAGAATCTGACCTGGTGAAAAACCATCGAAGACGGTTACTCAAGGACATTTCCATCGTCCTGCAGTATCTGTCCAA